GGACACCTTTTTCTTGTACGTTGCTCTCTTGTCCAAAAAAAAAAATGCCAGCCCTTCTTCCATTCGGAACTGACTTGACCTGGCACGGGCTCCCAGGATCTCCACACTCCTTGGGCCACCAGCGGGTCGCTTCCACGTCATGCGCAATAAGAAACTTTAAAATTATTTTTAAACGAGGAGGTCGACATGTTATTTAATCCTCTGATCTACCTTTTTGTACAAAAACATTTCTTCCTTGTCCGCCCATTAACGGGGAACGTGAGCCGGGTTTAGACCGTCGTGGCGTGAGATAGGTTAGTTTTCACCCAACAGATGACAAGTCGTTCTTGTAACAGGCCTTTGCCACCTCCACCTTCAAATCTGTCAATTACAAACCCCTCCGTTTAAGTAACAGTTTTACGGCACTTACAATGCACTTAGGTCTGATAACTGCGAACACCCCTCAAGTAAGTAAATACATGTAGTTAAAAATAAAGAAACGACTTTTAAGACGTTAGTGCAAAACATAATATATACATACAGACTTTAACATAAGTTAAAGACCACCTTGACGGACCACCTTGATTTTTTAAAATTCAGAAAAAAGACATCAAGGAATGTTTCTTTTTTTTTTTTATCTGAAAGTGTTAATGGGTTACCAATGCGTACTGAAAAGTTTCCTGAAGGGGAGAAACCACCACGTGCAGCACGAAGATCCTCGTGGAATTTTGGCCAAATTTGCTGTTTTTATCGACTTGTGTGACACACCACGGTAATTCCTTGGTTAAAATTTCTGGTGCACGATGCTTTGATGGCAATATAAGCCGCCGTTTGCGCAAAATCCAGTACTGCATCAACATGCCACTGAGACAAAGGCTGAGAGACTTTTTGATCATGCCAGAGCTAAGGCGGCATGGCTGCAGGATGGAGTTAGAGCCCGAGAAGTTGCCAGAAGGCTTGCAGTGTCACACTCTGTCATTGTCCGCTTGAGGCAGCCCCATCAAGTCACTGGATCAGTCCAAGAACGCCAATGTGCAGGTCGACCCAAGAAGACCACTCAGAGTGTTTGCAAGTGGTCCTTAACTTATGTTGAAGTCTGTAGAAGTCCTCTAGATAGGAATTTCATTTTGTAATCTTAGATAAGAATATTTTAAAGTACAAGACAAATTCCTTACCGCACAATGCAGACGGGCATTTTCATACGTTTGTGGTCGATCTCCCTCAAACAAGAAGCAGCTACCTGCATATTTGTACCAATGGGATGGACAGCCTAGAAAACAAAGTGGCGAGACCCTGGTTTAAATTCAACTTGTAATTCATTTTGAGAGTGGTACTAAAAGAACACAGGAAAAACAACAAGAAAAATCAACGACAACAACAATATTACCGGTACAACCACAATAATATAAACAACAAAGACAATGGAAATACCACCACCACCACCACCACCACCACACCACTAACAACAATACTACTACTACCACCATCGTTACCATCACTAACAACAATAAACTACTACCATCCACACCACCCCTGCCACCACCACAACCACAACAACAACAACAACAATAACAGAAACAACAACAAAAACAACAGCAGCAGCAACAACAACAACATCAAAAACAGAGCTGAAGGGAGATATAGCAAAAGAAAAAAAGAAAGAGCTAGAGGAAGGCGAGATAGATAGATAGATAGATAGATAGATAGATAGATAGATAGATAGATAGATAGATAGATAGATAGATAGATAGATAGATGGATGGATAGATAGATAGATAGATGGATGGATGGATGGATGGATGGATGGATGGATGGATGGATGGATGGATGGATGGATGGATGGATGGATGGATGGATAGATTCATTGGATAATGGAGAGACAGAATTATAATGTATAAAAATAATACACTAATATTACTGACAAACCGACAAGAAGAGATAAACACAGATGGCTATACAAGAACATTAACATACCTTGAGAGAACGATGCATTCTGCGTTGCAACTATTGTAAACGTCACTGAAGACAGTACGCTAAGAATCACTGGCCTAGGGGGAGGAAAACAACAAACATTAGTTTAAACAATGAGGGTGTAGCATGAAGAGAAACACACACACACAAGGCATTCCAGGACGAGACATGACTTTCGTACCTTCCACTCGAACAGCTTGGAAACTTGCACTGAACTTTCACTCATGACTCTCGTACTGCACATAACACCAACACACCTTAACAATTTGATCTTAAGGTTAGTCGCCACAAGGGTCTACATATTTTGATCTCTGAGTATGGTTTACGTGTATGGGTTTCGCATTTCAAATGCTGAGATACGAAACAGAATTACAAACGCAATGGGGCAACATAAGATCTACTGACCACAGTGAAGAGACGAACATTAAAATGGTATGGGCATGTCACAAGATCCACAGGACTTGCCAAAACAATCCTACAAGGAACCATGCAAGGAAAGGGAAAGAGAGGAAGGCAGAGAAGGATATGGGAGGACAACATCACAGAGTGGACAGGAAAGACGATGGATGACAATCTCATGAAAGCAGAGGACAAAGAGAAAAGGCGAGAGCTGGTTTTCAGATGCAGTGGTGCCCCCACGGTTGCCCCAACCACGGGATAGAAGAAGAAGAAGATGTGTTACGTCCCCATCAATACAATTTACACTTTTTAGGAGGTGGGCTGCTTCGACTTATCTGGGACAGTTGAGTGGGATAAAGCATCTCAACAGATAGACTGAGGTCTGGTATACTCAATAACATATTTTTATTTTATAATTATCTTACCCACTCTGAAATCGAACATGCTCTTTCAAGAATAACGAAACATTAGCGCGTACGTCTCTCTCTCTCTCTCTCTCTCTCT